ATCACAAGAAGTTACTTCTGAGTTATCTACTAAAAAAGCAAATATTTGATTTATTTATTTTTTTACTATTTTTTTTTCTTTACCTATTCGACGATATTTTCCATCGGGTAACTTACAAATTCCAAAATATCTTGACGAGGCTTTTTCATCATTAGGTTGTGTGAGATCATGCGTTAATAATCCTTGTTCGCGTAGCGCGTCGAGCAACTTGAAAAAGGAATCTTTTAATAGTAATAATATCAGCACATGTTTCATACTAGCAATAACACTGAAAGTATTTAATACAGTCAACTCTCTATAATGAACTAGCGGTTCTTATAGTAAAATTTGGTACAGTCAAGCCATCCTAAATACATTTAGAAAAATGGACATAGCTGGGTCTATAGATGGGTGACGGAAAATATTTTCGAAATTGACGACAAAACCAGTCATTTTGTCGAATTTTGTCACTCATCTATAGCTGGGCCAGAGTTAAAGATTACATTTAAAAAAGGATTGCATTGCATTTAGAGGTCTGACTGTATATAAAATTTTACTACGTTTTATGTAACGAATTTTTAAATTTAAAAAATTTAAAGAAAATTCTTTATATGGATATAAAAAAGACGCGTTATATATAATTAGAGTTAACTGTATATCGAATAAATTAAGTTTACCCGAACTTGATTTTCCATCAGAATTATTTCTGGTTAACATAATGTCAATATCACCGCAAGTTGGTTGACCTCTTATGTAAGACCCAGCAGTAATACATAATAATTTTGGGTCAATTTTACAAGCAGCTACTTCTACGCGTTTTGAAATTTCAGTCACTTCATCTCGTGGAATTCTTTCTCGAAGGTCCTTTGAAAATGAATTATTTGTATAAATTTTAACTTTGAATAATATAAATTTTTTATAGAACGTAATTTATAAACTTACGTCATAACATTCAATTCCAATGCGTTGGGCACGTGTTAGTTTGACGTTTTGAAGAATGTCATCAAAAGTCCTATAACCTTTTGCATACCATTTCATGGCGATGGATGGTCCTACACCTATTTAATATGAGTTTAATATGAGTTTAATATTAGATGAGATTAGTAATACACAAAACTCAAAACTCTTTGAACAAACAATAATAAACAATCAATAAACAATTAATAAACAATGAAAACATACCATGAATATCGCTGAATTTCTTAATCACTTCATCGTCTTTTGAAAAATGCTGCAATCTTTTTAAATTTCCTGTATTAATAATTTCAGCGATCTGTTAACGTTAAAATTAAAATTAAAATTAAATTATTCCCATAAAAAAACGTTATCGTTATAATACGAGAAAAAATGGATTTAAAAAAAAAAGACCTTTTCAGCAGTGCGATGTCCTATACCACGAATTTCTATAGCTTCTTGATAAGAAGTAATTGGTTCTTTTTGCCTTTTAATTGCAGAAATAGCCTTACGATAACTTAGAATCCTCCATTCATCTTTCATACGTTGATAATGATCCAATAACACTTTAAGCTATAATTTACAGTGAACAAAATTTAAATGTGAGCTTCAGAGTCAATCATAGTTTTAAATGCTTTAATTTTTGTTCTTTTGACACAGACTTTATCAATTATCAATTTATTTGGGCTAGCATCTTCTTCTCCATATGTATGTTTATGCATGCACATAAACTGCCCTTTGAAAGACTTTAAAATATATATATATATCAAATTTAAAGTTAAAAAAAAAAAAAAAAAAAATAGTAAAAAAATAAATAAATCAAATATTTGCTTTTTTAGTAGATAACTCAGAAGTAACTTCTTGTGAT